TCATGGTTGTACTGGGTATGTGAGTTTTTGGGAGGTAGAGGTAAAGTGCCGTCTATCCATGATACGTCTGTCATATCAACAGTGCATGCTATCAACGTGATTTATCCCTGGTGACTTTAACCTTGGCCAGCTGGCTGGGGTAATGCTTGTTGAATTTCTCCACTGCAAAGTTATTCTTTCCCTCCTGTTCCATACCATATTCTTCAGAAGGAATCACTGATTACTAGAATTTTCACGTATTTACTTCAGTCTAAATCTGTCCCTTTATCTACACCATCCTGAAAGCAAAATTGCACTGGGTACTTGTTCATTCTTTTTTTTTTTTCTCATTTTTTGGCTCTTGCAGTTCAAAAGTCAACTTGTTAATTCTATTTTTTGTTTTGTTTTGAGACGGAGTCTTGCCCCGTCACCCAGGCTAGAGTATAGTGGCGTGATCTCAGCTCACTGCAACCTCTGCCCCCCGGGTTCAAGCAACTCTCATGCCTCAGCCTCCCTAACAGCTGGAATTACAGGTGCCCACCACCACGCCCAGTCACTTTTTGAATTTTTAGTAGAGACGGGGTTTCGCTCTGTTGGCTGGGCCTGTCTCCGACTCCTGACCTCAAGTGATCCGCCTGCCTCGGCCTCCCAAAGTGCTGGGATTACAGGCGTGAGCCACCGTGCCCAGCCTCAACTTAACTGTTGACACCCTTCAATTTTGCCAGGAGCTGGGATCTGGGTTCCAGCCTTGTTACTTTTATTTTGTTATTTCTGGCAATTTTAGCACAGAGACACATATCACCATTCTAAATGGGTCTATGCCTTGGTCTTGTCGTTCGTGAAAAACAAAGTTATCAGCCAGGCAAGGTGGCTCACACCTGTAATCCCAGCACTTTGGGAGGCTGAGGCAGGCGGATCACAAGTTCAGGAGTTTGAGACCAGCCTGGCCAATATGATGAAACCCCGTCTCTACTAAAAAATACAAAAAATTTAGCTGGGCGTGGTGGCGCATGCCTGTAATCCCAGCTACTTGGGAGGCTGAGGCAGGAGAATCGCTTGAACTCAGGAGGCAGAGGTTGCAGTGAGCCAACATTGTGCCACTGCACTTCAGCCTGGGTGACAGAGCAAGACACCGTCTCAAAAACAAATTAAAAAAAATTTTTTAAAACCCCAAATTATCTAGCAATACCATGTACTGGGCACTGTGATATGTGCTTTCCCTTACTTATTCATCTACAGATGACCCTGTGATGGAGGTGATACCACTATCTTCCTGTTCTGGATGAATACTGTGATTTGCAGTAGTGAAATCAGTTCCCCAGAGTCACCATCTTGCAAGTGGCTAGAGCTGGAATTCAGTCCTTGGTTTATGATCCCGGAGCTCAGCACTAAACCAAACGTCACCAGACTGCTTCAGAGCAGTCATAGAGAAGAGAGGTTCAGAGTGCAGGTTTAGGGGTTCAAATCATACGTAGCTCTGCCCCTTACTGGCACTGTAGCCTTGTCTAAGTCACTTCCCAACTTTAGATCTCAGTTTTCTTATCTGTTCAATGGTGACAATAATACTATCTTTGTCATAGGGCTGTTGTAAGAATTACATTGTTTAAAATAATGCCTGGCTCAGGGTAAGCAGTCTGTGAGGGTTATTAGTGCTATCACTGTATTATTTATCATTTACATTTCTATCCATTAATCCATTCACCATCTGTGTTCCATCCATCCATCCAGAGCAGCACTGTCTGTCTTGGACCTTGGTTTCTCCATCTACAATGAGGGTTAAAACCCAGCAGGAATTCTTATTTGTTTCTGTGTCATGGACACTTTTGAAGGCTGGTGATATAAAATACATAGAATAACAAAGTTAACTAATGATAACAAAGTACAGTTGTCAAAGTAAAAAAAGAAATTGTGATACAGCAATAAAAATGCTTATTTATTAATGGCATTAAACAAGATCTGGTGGTGGACCCAATCATTACGACAGTTTTCAGGTAGTAATAATAAACAATGTTTTGAGAATTCTGGAATGCCTGTACTGAGCTATAAAAATACCTGTCACGACTCTTGGTGACAAAGTCTTAAGTTTTCCTAATTGTACTGTAGTTTGTTGCCTAGGTTCATGATAGAAAGAAATGATAAATTTCAGTTATAGATTAGTGAACCTTTCCCCCCGACCTATTCAGGTTCATAGATGGCTGAATTCTTAACATGGACTCCAGATAAAAAACTGAATTGGAGAATGCTGGGATCCTTTCTAGCTCTGTGATTCTGTGAGACTCTGAGTCTGATCCTGGAGGATCCTGGGGGGAAGGAGAGGGACCCTGTGCTCTGAGGATATTGCGCCTAGGACAGGCCTACCTAAGGGCCTTTCAAGCCTCAGCCTTGCTTTCCCGGATGGCTCTGTTCTAGACGTTTCAGAGAAACTGGCTGGCTGCTCCCGGCGGGAGCCTTTGCCCTCACTGATCAATGGCTGCCTCGGCAGATTTATTGACCCAGCCCTTTGTTTTCGGGAAAGAGCTGCCTTTCTCTTGTTAACCCCAGACAGCCTGTGCCCGACCAGGATGCCTTCTGTGCTTTGGGCTCAGCACTAGGGCAAGAAGGACATCAGGAGAAGAGTAGCATCCTACGGATAAAGGGCATCCTCCAAAGGCCAGAAGCTATGCCAGGCCCTTTCATCTGGCCCCTTTATCAGCCGGCAGCAAAGGAGTGAGGCTTCTAACCAGTCTGTCTGAAAGTCAGAGGCTATGCCCTCCCTAGGGTTCTAGAAGCCTCCAGCCCTGCTTCACCATGCAAGTGAGTTTAAGGGTTTACCTACCTCAGGATGCACACATATATCCCTTCCCCGGACCCTCTCCAAGACACACACACACACACACACACACACACAGATACACACACACACACACACACACACACACACACGGCCTCTGATTCACAGACAGCTCAGGGCTGATTTCACCCAGCGTAGGAAGGAGCTATTGACTCAAGCTTTGAGGTGCTGGATAGGTGAGACGGGATGTCCCCTCCCTTCAGTTTGCTGTGTTCAGCCCCTGGCACCCTACATTGCTGTCATGAGCAACCCATGTCTCCAGGTTAAACATTGCCTTCCCTCAGTCTTTTGTTTTATAACACAGTTGCTCCCTGACTGATGATGGGGGGTTAGTGGTTAGTGCCCAGTGACCCCATTGTAAGTTGAAAATATCATAAGTTAAAAATGCATTTAATACACTGAACCTACTGGACATCACAGCTTAGCTCAGCCTACCTTGAATGTGCTCAGACACTAGCATTAGCCTGCAGATAGGCAAAATCATCTGGCACGGCCGTATACTGTGGAGCACTGGTTGGTTACTCTCGTGATAGTGTGGCCGAGTGGGAGCCGCGGCTCATTCCTGCTGCCAGCATCACAGGAGAGCGTATTTCCACTCATTGCTAGCCTGGGCAAGGATCAGAATTCAGAATTCGATGAATGGTTTCCAATGAATGTGTATTACTTTCACACCATCTTAAAGTCAGAAAACTGTATGCTGAACGTAAGTGAGCACCATCTGGCCCACCTGTATACAATGTCTAAGACAGTGCTAATTCTTTTGACCTTAAAGCTTTTCTTGGCATTTGTGCAGGGTGCAAGGTGGATGCAGGGAAGGGGAAGTGTGGGGTCTGAGAGCCAGAGACCCTGCTAGGGGATGCGGAATCACTCAGCAAGTTCTCCGGTTCAATTCAGTCCAGCAGACATTTTATCAAACCATTTGTTGTTATTTATTTATTTGTTTATTTATTTATTTATTTATTTTTTAAAGATGGGGTTTCTCCATGATGGCCAGGCTGGTCTTGAACTCCTGACCTCAGGTGATCCACCCACCTCGTCCTCCCAAAGTGCTAGGATTACAGGCGTGAGCCACTGCGCCCAGCCGAACCATTTGTTATTCACACTGGAAAGGTGGAGATAAATCAGGAATAGCCCCTATCTCCAGGGACAAAGTCTGGCAAGAAGATAAACTAAAATATGATGTCATAAAAATAATAGTTACATGTGCACAATTCAAGACTATATAGCAGAATTCACTGACTCCGGGCTTCAAGAGATATGTCATGGAGCAATGGGCAGGGAAGGCCTGGAAAGTGGTGTTTTTCAGAGGGTCAGGGGAGGAGGACGGAATGGCATCCCAGGCAGGTGTCAACATGTGTGACACTTAGGAAATGGGAGTTGTATAGTTTGCTAGGGCTGCTGTAACAAAATGCCACAGACATAAACAACAGAAATTTATTTTCTTGTGGTTCTGGAGGCTGAACGTCCAAGAGCAACGTGTTGGCAGCTCTGGTTTCCTTTGAGGTCTCTCTCCTTGGCTTTCAGATGGCTGCCTTCTTGGCCTGCCCTCCCATGGTCTTTCCTTTGCACATCCGTGGTGTGTCTGTGCCTCCAAATTTCCTCTTCTTCTTTTTTTTTTTTTTTGAGATGGAGTTTCACTCATGTTACCCAGGCTGGAGTGCAATGGCGTGATCTCTGCTCACTGCAACCTCTGCCTCCCGGGTTCAGGCAATTCTCCTGCCTCAGCCTCCTGAGTCGCTGGGATTACAGGGACGCACCACCATGCCCAGCTAATTTTTTGTATTTTTAGTAGAGACGGGGTTTCACCATGTTGACCAGGATGGTCTCGATCTCTTGACCTTGTGATCCACCCGCCTCGGCCTCCCAAAGTGCTGGGATTACAGGCTTGAGCCACCGCTCCCGGCCTTTTTTTTTTTTTTTTTAAACATTATTTTGTTTGTTTTTTAAACTTTTTTTTTTTTTTTTTAAAGATGGGGTTTCTCCATGATGGCCAGGCTGGTCTTGAACTCCTGACCTCAGGTGATCCACCCACCTCGGCCTCCCAAAGTGCTAGGATTACAGGCGTAAGCCACCGCACCCGGCCAATTTCCTCTTCTCATAACGACACCAGTCAGACTGGATTAGGGCCCATCCTGAGGGTCTCATTTTAACTTAATCTCTTTAATGACCCTATTTCCAAATACAGTATAGTCACACTCTGTGGCACTGGGGGTTAGGACTTCAACATACGAATTTTGGGAGAACACCATTCAGCCCATAACAGAAGCTGACTGTGAAAGACAGGAGTTGGTAGGGGGATGGGGCAAAGCCAGATCAGGAAAGGCCTTGACTCTTAGGGCTTCACGTTTTAGGACTTAAGATGCTGGCTTCTGGTTTGAGCCTTGGGAGGCTCATTGGAAAGCGAAAACATCTCAGTTTCCCATCCCGTTTCTGGTAATTCTGGGAGGGGTGAAATCTCTCAGGCCTACAGCCCCCAGAGTCTGAGATCAGAGCCACGCCCCAAGGAGTGGCTAGCATTGTCCCTCTGCCTGGGCCCTGTGGAAAATCCCCGCCCAGCTGGGTGGGTCCCGGAAGCTTATCAAGTGAGAAACTTTCCTGCCTTCCAGAAACTCCCATTTGGATAGACATGGATGCGCAGAGCACACGCTAAGCAGTCTTACGGGTAACTGAGGGCTCCACTTCGCCGAGAGGAGGAGAAAGACCCGGAAGACTGCAGTTCTGCCTTGGCCGTCAGAGGAGTCTGGGCCCCACCTGCCTCCCTGGCTGCGCATTCAGGTCACTCCCCTTCCTGCTTTCCTCCTCCATAAAATGAGGGTGGGTATGAACTGAAACCTCAATGGGCCTGGCCCTTGCAGCACCTTTGGATTCTAAAACAGAGAAGGAAGTTGGGGCAGATGGGCAGAGGAGGGGCTGGAAACTCCTCCCCCAGAGAACTGCATCCGCATTCCATCGAGCAGCCAGAGCTGGAAGGCCTGGGAATCTGCTTTTTCTAGGGCATGTAAATCTGGCTAGGGGAAGAGATGGAGAGTGAGGTGCTCCGACTGGATAGGGTAAATTTCTTTTGTCCCCCTCTCCTCTCCTCCTGAGGATAATTCCTTTACAAAATATTTACTGAAGTAGAAAATGCATAGTGTGGTCAGGGCGTAACTTTTAAGTGTAGAAGTTGATTACATTTGTGTATTAATATAACGAACACATAATGAATACATTTGTGTATTAATATAACGAACATGCCAGAAGCCTAGAGAGCTCCCTCCCTTGTGCCCCTTTGCACCCCACCTGCAGGTAACTGCTATTCTGAACTTAGATGAGTTCTGTCTTTCCTTAAATGCTGCATAAATGGAGCCACACAGTATGCATTCTTTCGCACCTGTCTTCTTTTGCATATCATTATGCCTGGGAGATTCTGCCATTGGATTTTGCAGGAAATAGGTGCCCGGTTGGGGAAGATCCACTGCAGTCTCTGCTGCATATGCCCTTGAGCTTGGCTCCTTCCTGGAAGCTAGGGTGTGAAGGCTTTAAAACATGGCCTTCAAAATTCTTGACATTCCTCTTCCTTAATAGCTGGAATACTGGTGCTTGGAGCACTGGGCCACTATGCAGGAAGTCTCAGTACCCCAAGGCCACCATGCACTGAGGAAGCCAGGCTACAGGGAGAGGCCTCATGTAGGTGCTCTGTTGTTAATCCCAGCTTTTGAGTCTCCCATCATGTGAGCAAATGGGCCCAAGATAATTATAGCCCTAGCCATGAAATCATCGCTTGCCTTCAAGGCCCCAGATTATGGTACAGAGACAAGTCATCCCTCTGGTCACCCAGCTCACCCCATGTCCTGCCCAAGTTCCTGACCCACAGAATAAAAGTGCATAATAAAAATGGTTATCTTTTTTTTTTTTTTTTTGAGACGGAGTTTTGCTCTTGTTACCCAGGCTGGAGTGCAATGGCGTGATCTCGGCTCACCGCAACCTCCGCCTCCTGGGTTCAGGCAATTCTCCTGCCTCAGCCTCCTGAGTAGCTGGGATTACAGGCACGCGCCACCATGCCCAGCTAATTTTTTGTATTTTTAGTAGCGACGGGGTTTCACCATGTTGACCAGGATGGTCTCGATCTCTTGACCTCGTGATCCACCCGCCTGGGCCTCCCAAAGTGCTGGGATTACAGGCTTGAGCCACCGCGCCCGGCCAAAAATGGTTATCTTAAGATGCTAAATTTGGGGGTAAATTGTTATGTAGTGATAATAATTGGAGCACAGGGTGAGAAGTGGCTGGACTTGGGGAGGGTGAGTTTAGCCTTCTCACTGGGTGGTTTTACCATAGTAACTCCGCTGGCTGATGTACAGCCCTGCCTTGGCCTCATCCTCTGGTCATGTCTTCAGAGCTTCTCTTATTCACTTTAGGCCAGTTGTAAATTGTCTGCCCCATTTGCCCTCTAAAGCAAAAGGCATCTTCTGGTAAGGGTATGGTTTTTTCTGTAGGCTTTTGCCTCCCTACCAGAGTCTCCTGAAGAGGTGGGCACAGGGAATATTTGGATAGGACAGTTTCTGGCATGTGCAAGTAAATTGCTTAACACAGTCCCAGGCACGTAGTGCTCAAGAGATGTGTCTGCCAAAGGCATTATCCTTCCCTACCATATAGTCTGTTCTTTCATCGCTAAAAAGAAATGCCTGGGGCTGGGTGATTTACAAAGAAAAGGGTTTAATTGGCTCATGGTTCTGTAGGCTACACAGGAAGCATGGCATGGCATCTGCTCCTGATGAGGGCCTTAGGAAGCTTACAATCATGGAGGAGAGCAAATGGGGAGCAGGTGCGTCACACAGCAAAAGCAAGAGAGAGAGAGAGAAGAACAATGAACAATGAGATCTCATATGAGCTAACTGAGAGACAGCTCACTCATTACCAAGGAAATTTCATGAAGAATTCACCCTCGTAATCCAATTGCCTCCCATCAGGCACCATCTCCAACAATGGAGGTCACATTTCAACATGAGATTTGGAGGTGACAGACATCCAAACCGTATAATTCTGTCCCTGGCCCTCTAAATCTCATGTTCTTCTCACATTGCAAGATACGATCATCTCTTCGTAACAATCTTCTAAAGTATTAACTTGTTCCATCCAGCATCAAGTCCAAAGTCTTAAGTTTCATCTGAGACCCAGTCCTACTTATCAGCCTATAAAATCAAAACAAGTTATTTACTTTCAAGATACAATGGTGGTACCAGCATTGGGTAAATATTCCCATTCCAAAAGGGAGAAATCAGCCAAAAGAAAGGGGCAGTAGGCCCCACACAAGTCTGAAACGTAGCAGGTCAGCTATTAAATCTTAATGCTCCAGAGTAGTCTCCTTTGATACCATGTTCCACATCCAGAGCAACTTATGGAAGGGTGGGACTCTAAGGCCTTTGACAGCTCTGCCCCTGTGGCTTTGCAGGTATCAGTGGGTCTGGAGCCCATGCGTGCCCTGGCAGAGTTTATGCCCCACCGGGCCTTACAGCTATACCTGGTGCTAGCAGAGCTGCTTGGGACATGATGTCAGCCTGTTACAGTGTATCCTCCAGCTTCAGTGGGCCTGGCCATGCTGGCCACTGCCAATGAGCTGCTGCCAGCACTGAACCTCTGCGGGCACCGAGGGTCACAGTGCAACACAACTCTCCTGCCTTCAGCCTCCAGAGGTCCTGTTTTTGTTTTTGTTTTCCTTCTGTGATTCATACTGTTGGGAATGTAGGGACTTGGAAACAGCCCTTGCCTCAAGCAGGTGTACAAAGAAGAACTTGGTTTATTTTATTTTTTAACAGATGTATTGATATATAATTCACGGGCTATATAAGTCACCCGTTTAAAGTGTACAGTTCAATGGCCCTTAGTATATCTAGAGTTGTGCAACCATCATCACAAGCAATTTAAGAACATTTCCATCACCCCGTAAAGACACCTTTACCGCTCAGCCATAATCGTCTACCCCCACCCCCAGCCTCACACCTGCCCTAGGCAACCACAAATCTATGTTCTGTCTCTATAGACATGCCTATTCTGGACATTTCATTCATAGAAGCAGAATTATGCAATATGTGGTTCTTCGTGACTGCTGCTTTCACTTGGCATAATGTTTTCAAGGTTCCTCCATGTTATAGCATGTATTGGTACTTCATTCCTTTGTATTGCCAAATAAGATTCCATTGTATGATGTTAGACATCTTTTTTTTTTTTTTTTTTTTTTTTTTGAGACAGAGTCTTATTCTGTTACCCAGGCTGGAGTGCAGTGGCACAATCTCAGTTCACTGCAACTTCCGCCTCCTGGGTTTAAGCAATTCTCCTGCCTCAGTCTCCTGAGTAGCTGGGATTACAGGCTTGTGCCACCATGCTCAGCTAATTTTTTGGATTTTTAGTAGATACAGGGTTTCACCATGTTGACCAGGCTGGTCTGGAACGCCTGACCTCAAGTGATCTGCCTGCCTTGGCCTTTCAAAGTTCTGAGATTACAGGCATGAGTGACCACACCTGGCAGACTATAGACATCTTATTTGGTACGTATTTGGGTTGCTTTTACTTTTCGGCTGTTATGAATAATGCTTTTACAGGAATTGGTGTGCATACTTTTGTGTGGATATATGTTTTCATCTCTTGGATATATATACCTAGGAATGGACTTGTTGAGTCATACTCTAACTCTATAACCTGTTGGGAAGCCTCCAGGCCGTTTTTCAAGATGTTGCATCCATTTTACATTCCCTGACACCCCCCACTTGCCGCAGTGTGTGAGGGTTCCGGTTTCTTCACATCTTCACCAACACCTATCTTTCTGATTTTAGCTCACCTCATGGGTGTGAGGTCATGTCTTTGTGGTGTTGCTTTGCATGTTCCTGATGGCTGATCATGTTGATTACCTTTGCATGTATTTACTGGCTTTTAAAAAAACTGCGTATTCAGACCTGATATGGTTTGGATCTGTGTCCCCACCAAATCTCATATCAAATTGTAATCCCCAGTATGGGAGGTGGGGCCTGGTGGGAGGTGATTGAATGGTGGGGCCGAATTCTCATGGGTTAACACCATTCGTGTGGTGCTGTTCTTCTGATAGTGAGTGAGATAACATGAGATCTTGTTGTTTAAACGTGCATAGCACCTCTCCATACTCTCTCTTCCTGCTGCTCTGGTCATATGAGTTGCTGGCCCCTGCTTGTCTTCTGCCATGATTGAAAACTCCCTGGGCTTCCCCAGAAGCTGCTATGCTTCCCGTATAGCCTGGAAAACCATGAGCCAATTTAAACTATTTTCTTTATAAATTAGCTAGTCTCAGGTATTTCTTTATAGCAATGCGCGAATGGACTAATACAAAACCCTTTGCTGATTTGTCTTTTGATGGCTAGTTTTAAGAGATCCTTTTGTCTTTTCTTCTTTCGTAGAGGTGAGGCCTCACTATGTTGCCCAGGCTGGCCTTGAACTGAGCTCAAGTGATCCTCCCACCTTGGCCTCCCAAAGTACTGAGATTACGGATTACAGGCATGAGTCACGTGCTCTGCCGGTTGTAAGAGCTCTTTACATATTCTCCATACAAGTCCCTTCGGCTGGTTTATTTTTCAGGATCTTTAGAAGGTCATGTCATAACTTCCTTGTTCCTGTGTTTACTGGCTGAAGAATTGCAACAGAAACAAATCATTGGCTCTCACTCCACGAGGTGGGGCTGCCACCCCTTGGAAGCACCAGCTCACATACATTCCTGGTGCTGGTGAAGACAGATGGGATCCTCCTGGTTCCTTTTCCTGTTTTCTCTCTTTTCAGCTTCACCAAAATCAGAAAACCTCAAGTGCATAAAGTGGAGGGCACGCCAGGGTTCCCTGCGGGATTCTTTCAACCCCCACGGTCTTGCCTGCCTCCAAGAGTTGGATGTGCTGTCCTTTTCCTCCCACCGCCCCCATGTCCTACTTTCCTTTAATAACCACTATCCCAGCCAGCCGCGGGGGCTCACGCCTGTAATCCTAGCACTTTGGGAGACCGGGGGGGGGGGGTCGGATCACGAGGTCAGGAGTTCAAGACCAGCCTGGCAAACATGGTGAAACCCAGTCTCTACTAAAAATACAAAAATCAGCTGAGTGTGGTGGCGTGTTCCTGTAATACCAGCTACTCGGGAGGCTGAGGGAGGAGAATTTTTTGAACCAGGACCTGGGAGGTGGAGGTTGCAGTGAGCTGAGATTACCACTGCACTGCAGCCTGGGTGACAGAGCGAGACTCTGTCTCAAAAAAAGAAGAAAACCACTATCCCAAAGAACACTTTTGAGAGTCACCCTGGCATGGCATGAAATGGCCTCTGGGTGGCAGCAAATCTGAGACAAAGACCCGGGATTGGCAACAGTGACCAGTGCCGAATCTCAGACAAAGGAAAGAACATTCTCTTCTCTCGGACAGTTGCACGTGAAGCTGAGTTAGGTGGTCAGTTTGTTCTCCAGCTGAAGCCAAGAGTGTCATGTAGTGAGACACGATCATGCCCTGGGGGAGGAAGGAAGGAATAGTGGCATCTTTTTGTCTCCAGGAAAGATCTTGGCAGCATCATTCAGTGTTTGTTTATTAAGTTCTAATGTTGGGTCAGGCACTGTGCTAAGCATTTTCTATTCCTTGTCTCAGTCTCATTAATCCTCACCATAATCTTTTTTTTTTTTTTTTTTTTTTTTTGAGAGGGAGTTTCGCTCTTGTTACCCAGGCTGGAGTGCAATGGCGCGATCTCGGCTCACCGCAACCTCCGCCTCCTGGGTTCAGGCAATTCTCCTGCCTCAACCTCCCGAGTAGCTGGGATTACAGGCACGCACCACCATGCCCAGCTAATTTTTTGTATTTTTAGAGATGGGGTTTCACCATGTTGACCAGGATGGTCTCGATCTCTTGACCTTGTGATCCACTCGCCTCGGCCTCCCAAAGTGCTGGGATTACAGGCGTGAGCCACCGTGCCCGGCCAATCCTCACCATAATCTTATGGGTTAGGTACAGTGCATCCTTATTTTCCAAATGAGGAAAGTGAGCCCAAGTAGATTAACTTGCCAGCTATCACCTGGCTAGCAGGTGGCAGAACTGGAATTAAAACTCATGCCATCCGACTTCAACACCTGCATGCCTAAACAACTCCTTCTTGGTGCACAGAGCACCCGAGCTTTTGAATTCAAATCCTATGGATGTTCGTTTTCACATTGTCAATTTCCATAGAAATTTGCATGAAATACAGCTGAGCTGTAGAAGAAAGAGCTCCTAGCATGGATTAGAAAATTGGCACTGAGATGTATTCCAGCACGCACAGGTTTTGAGTGACTTTGGTCAATTACATCATCCTTCTCTAAATTTCCTTATCGCACAAGTAGAGGTAGAGATAGCAATACCTACGTCATAGTGTTATTGTGAGGGTCAAATGAGATGATTGCTGTATGATTTGGAAACTCTAAAGTTTGAAAAGTCAGGGATTGTTATTCTTATTGCATTGTTCACTTAATTCGGGTCAAATCCTGTAATTAACAGCCAGAAGCTTAGATAACAAGGGTTCTGAGTCTTAGCCAAGAAGCTTAGGGTTAGCTCACTTGTGAGCAGTATTCAGGACAATAGGCATGGGGCACCACCCAAGTGTTGGGTGCTTTGTACCTGGTTAATTCTAGAATCCTATCCATCCCTCCCCACTCCCCAACCACCAGCTTGGATCTTGGCTCTTTTTTCTCCCCCACCGTCTCAATTTGCAGATCTTGGCTCTTTTTTCTCCCCCACCGTCTCAATTTGCACTGACTGGGCTGGCTGAGCCTATATCTTCTGCGTGCCCCTTGGCAGGAATGTATGGCTCTTTGTGGCAGAGATGAAATGTGTTTGCCAAATGGTCCACACACTAATTGGTTGGGTCAGTGAAATGTGAGCAGGAGTGACGTGTCCCCTCTAGGCTGAGGCAGCAAAGAGCCAGTGCTCCCCTACCATCTCCCCTTCCCCTGCTGGAGGCTGCCTATCAGATGGAGGAGGACCACTTGCCCCACATCAGTCCATGACATTAGCGGGACATAAATCTTTGTCGTGATAAGCTATTGAAATTCGGGGGTTTATTCTTTCAGAGTGTAGCTTAGTGTTACTTTGATGAATGTATTCCTTGCTATCAGTCTACAAAGAGGTGAGGAGGAAGACCTTGTTCTAGGCAGAGCACCGTGAATAAAGACATGACATGTTCAAGGGAGAAGGAGCAAATTGGTGTAGACAGGGCTGAGGTTCATGTTTATAGGGTCCTAGAACATAGTGGGTAAGGTCACACACTTTTGAGTTGTGGCTCTGCCATTGACTGGCTGTGTGCCTTGGACAAGTTCCTGTCTCTGAGTCTTAGTTCCTTTACTGTAAACTGTAGACAATAACAGCACCCAGGCCATGGAATTGTGAAGACTGAATCAGTACTTCGCTCAGGGTAAGTGCCTAGATAAGAATTAACCATGTTAAATATCAGTCATTGTTCTAATAAAGAGAGGGCTGGGAAACTGATTTCAGGACAAGAAAAAGGGCTTTCTATAATTACAGTAATCAGGAGCCTAGGGTGGTAAATATGAGAAGTTGGGGAGATAGAGTGTTCTGAGGGCACCCAGAACCAATTCATCCACTTTTAATTGCATTCCTCCATCTGCCTAACCACCACCCATCCATCCATCCACCCACCCACCCACCCACCCATCCGTACATCCATCCATCTGTCCATCTACCCATCCATCCATTTATCCATCCATCCATCTATCCACCCACCCACCCATCCATCCATCCATCCATCCATCCATCCACCCACCCACCCATCCGTACATCCATCCATCCATCTGTCCATCTACCCATCCATCCATTTATCCATCCATCCATCTATCCATCCACCCACCCATTAAACAAAGCAATTGATAAATATTCTCCAAATCTGTCAGAGAGTCTCTAACCAACAGGGAGACAGAGCCTGAAACACTAGATTCTAGTAGAAGTCTTTTACGGTTCTGCTGCCTCTTTAACAGAAGCTAGAAAAAAGCAGAAAAGTCAGGAAGGGAGCCAAGGCCATTGATGTCTCAATAGGAAGGGCAGCGACAGGAAACCAACATCAAGGCTAAGTGCTTTTTCTTGGTGTGAGGTCTTTCTGCAGGAGGAGCTTGGTTGGGAGGGGTGGAGGGAGTCTCCATCCCAGGGCACCTTAGTCATGGAGTCTCTGGCTTTCAGTCCACCAGGCTCTGGGCTGGCGGGAGGAGAGCAGGATGATGGGAAGCCAGGCTGTGCTTCCCTCAAGTGAAATCCTAGAGCCACAGAGAATGGGAAATGTCACCATGCACAGCCTCTCATGGCCTCTGCAGCAACATCCTTGCAGACTCTTAGGTGTGTTTTGAGCTCTGGTGAACAGAGCTGTAAAGGCTAGGCAGAGTGAATATGCTGGATTTTGTGTGCTCAGTGTCCATTGCCCTGTCTCCTGGTTGGTGAGTTCACTTTAAACCCATAAGTTCAGAGGGACTGATTTTATTTCTAGCTCCAGGAATGGGCGAGTGATGTATGTTTGATAAATTACAGTGTTGACTCCTCTAGGCCACAGTGATTGGCCCAGGGCTGGGCATGTGACCAAATTGGTTCCATGAGATTCTATTGGTAAGTTTGTTTTTTTTTTTTTTTTAACTATAATAATTAATTGACATCTATTGGTAAACTTTTGTTTGAACTATTGGGAAACAGAATCTCTTTTTTTTTTTTTGAGACAGAGTCTCGCTCTGTTGCCAGGTGCCAGGCTGGAGTGCAGTGGCACAATCTTGGCTCACTGCAACCTCTGCCTCCCGGGTTCAAGCAATTCTCCTGCCTCAGCCTCCCAGGTAGCTGGGACTACAAGCACACGCCACCATGCCCAGCTAATTTTTTTTGTATTTTTAGTAGAGACGGGGTTTCACTATGTTAGCCAGGATGGTCTCGATTTCTTGACCTCGTGATCCGCCTGCCTCGACTTCCCAAAGTGCTGGGATTACAGGCTTAAGCCACCGCAACCAACCAGAATCTCTCTTTTTAATAGGCTCATAGTTAAAGACTATGATCTAGAGCTTTTGGAAGTTAGTAAATATAGATAAAGCCTGCCTGAGAGTGAGGCTAACACAGCAAAACGTAGTATTGAGAGAAGGACAGAGCCCTTGTGCGTTGAAGCCATTGTGTGTGAGCTCCTGGATCCCACCATACCTGAAGGCTGTTGACTTTTTCAGTTATTTGAGAGTCCTGATTGGTACACTGGCTTGGTTTTCTAAAGAACATTTTTGGCTTTCTAAACACGATGAGATGGAGAATCTCACCACCAGCCTGCATATTCACCTTCCACCTTTCCAAGCTTCCACAGTTTACAATGGACAAATTAGTCTGCACCAGTTTCAGAGCTGTGCTCCTGGGATAGAAAAACGAACAGGACCTGGACCTTATCCTAGTCACAGTTTAGAAGGGGTGACAAGCGTAACTAGAGCAGTTCAGCATAAGATGTGCAGAGATAAAAACTAAGTGTCATGGGAACTAAGAAGACAAAGAAAGCCTGAATCTCAGTCTAGTGAGTGTTGGAATTACTCCCATCCCAGAACCTTACTCTTAACATGGGAGGCACATTCCTGGCCTCCTGAGATTATGCTAAAGCTTACGAGGTATAAAGGAGTCTAATGTTAGTTCTTGAATTATTCACTTAGTTCAAGTCCTAGTTCTGCCACCCTTTTGAGAAGTCAGGTAACCTCTGGATTTTAGTTTACCTCCTTGTATTAATAAAAGGGCTCAGCCGACTGCTTGTGCCCCCACCTGCCTCATGGAGCCATTATGAAATGCAAATGAGATAGTGATTTTGAAATTGCTGCATAGAACTGTAAAGCCCTGTAATAGAATGAATTTATACATACTCCCCCAAATACATTAATAAGAGGTAATATTTACAGAGTGCATACCATTATTTGGCATTCTTCTAAGTGTCTCACACACATTTCTCATTTAGTCTTTACACCAACCCTGGGCTGGATCCTATTCTTTCCCATTTTATAGATGAGAAAACTGAGGATGGAGAGGTTAAGTAACTTGTCCAGGGTCACCAGTAAGTGGGAGCTGGGATTGCATCTTTGAGTCGAATCAGGGTTCACACCCTCAATCACACTGCCAGTGCTGTCCCGTGAAACATCCCGTGATGATGGAGGTGGCCCATAGCTTCCCTGTCCAATACAGAGCCTTACTGAACACTTGAAATTGCCGGGTGTAACAGAGAAATGGAATTTTTAATCTAATTTAATTTTAATTGATTGAAATTAAAATTTAAACAGCTCCATGTGGCTTGTAGCTACTGTATTGGATAGGGACAGCGCTAGGCATCCTGCCTCCACATTTATGTGTGAAAGCTAAATTCCGGACAGCACGCAGATGAGAAAACAGAAGATTCTCCAGGTCCTCACAGCTACCAGCCACAAAGCTGGGACCCCAACTTTGCGCCTGGCATCGATCCCAGGCTTCAGACCAGACCTGACTTCCCTGATGAACCAGTAAAGAACAGGCTAGAACTTCCCGTTCCTGAGAGGTCATAAAACTCAGGAGATTTTTCCTGTGGCAAGGATCAGATCTTCTGGGTTCCTGAGGGGGAGATGGCCATGGCGGTTGAGGGCCCCTCCCTTGCTCTGCTTCTCTCCTCGCTCCCTCCATCCCCAGGCTCTGAGCTCTGCTCTCCCTGCAAGGCAGACAGAGGCTGGAAGGGAAGCTGAGGCCACACATGCCTGCATTTCCTCTCTGAGCTGGAAGCTGAGCTGGCAGGCATTCAAGGTTTAATTAGCTGAAATAACTGCACATAATAATCTTTAAAATGATAGTGGTTAGAGCTCAGGCTTCACTGCTTCTGATTATTCAGCCGCCTGGCATGAGTGTCCTGTTGCCAGCTCAGCCGTGCCAATGAATCTGCCAGGCTGAGTGGGGTGATTCCAGCATGCCCTGTTGAAGCTCTCTTCCTGCCATTCATTTGTTGTGTGATGGGAGAGGCAGGGCTCAATGTCTTCGGGCTCAGCTCTGCATCTGTGTGATGGAGATTATAGCCATCAAGCAGATGGGTAGAAGAGGAGTCAGCTAGAGGCTTCACAAAACCATCAAATACTCCCAAAGAACAACCAGCTGTATGAATGTCACAGATAAGGGGACCCTGGTCTTCACTGCTCAGTGACCGTGAACATGGTATGTTATGTCGGTAAGCCTGTTTTCTTCTCTGGAAAATGGGAAAATGGGAAGCACTCACTTTTTTTTTTTTTTTTTTGAGATGGAGTCTCACTCTGTCACCCACGCTGGAGTGACAGAGAATATTAGTTCTTGAATTATTCATTTAGTTCAAGTCCTAGTTCTGCCACCCTTTTGAGAAGTCAGGTAACCTCTGGATTTTAGTTTACCTCTTTGTATTAATAAAAGGGCTCAGCCGACTTGACCTCTACTCACTGCAACCTCAGCCTCCCAAGTTCAAGCGATTCTCTTGCCTCAGCCTCCCGAGTAGCTGGGACTACAGGCACATGCTACCATGCCTGGCTAATATTTTGTGATTTTAGTAGAGGTGGGGTTTCACCGTGTTAGCCAGGATGCTCTCAATCTCCTGACCTTGTGATCCACCTGCCTCGGCCTCCCTAAGTGCTGGGATTATAGACGTGAGCAACCGTGGCTGGCCATCACTCACTTTTCAGGGTTGTCTTGGAGGATCAATAGGCATGTATATATATATGTAACACTTGGTCCAAGGACCTGGCACATAGTAAATGCGCAACAATTAGTACCTTCTTCTTTTTTGGTTTTCTCTGTTCTTTCTGCTTTATCTTTGGAAACTTCTACTGCAGAATGAGAGGGAAGGACTTGGTCAGCAGGCTGATAGGGGCTGATGCCACAGAAACAGTTCTTTCTCCAATGCCTGCCAACACTTTCTCTAAGGGACAGAGTTTAGGGAGTGTTGGGACCTGTGGGGTAGAGACAGTGAGTGGGACCCCTGTGAGGACAGGTCATGTGTGTTCTTCCCTAGAAACCCCTAGCAAGGGAGACGCCTCCAAAGCTAACAGATTACTTTTTGTAGTAGAATTATTAGGTTGAACCACAGAAAATTACCTTTTTTCCCCCAACATTTTATTTATTTATTTTTTAAAATTTATTTTAAGTTCAAGAGAACATGTGCAGGATGTGCAGGTTTGTCACATAGGCAAACTTGTATCATGGAGTTTGTACAGATTATTTTATCACCCGGGTGTTAGTATCTATTAGTCATTTTTCCTGGTCCTCTTCCTCCTCTCACCCTCCACCATCCAAAAGGCCCCAGTGTGCATTGTTCCCCTCTGTGTGTTCTCATCATCTGGTTCCCACTTATAAGTGAGAACATGCAATATTTGGTTTTCTGTTCCTGCATTAGTTTGCTAAGGATAATGGCTGTCAGTTCCATCCATGTTCCTGCAAAGAACATGATCTCATTCTTTTTTATGGCTCTGTAGTATTCCATGGTGTGTATGTACCACATTTTCTTTATCCAGTCTATCATTGATGGGCATTTAGGTTGATCCCACGTCTTTGCTATCGTGAATAGTGCTGCAGTGAACATACATATGCATGTGTCTTTATAACAGAATCATTTATATTCCTTTGGGTATATACCTAGTAATGGGATTGCTGGGTTGAATTGTTACTGGTGGAGGGAGGTCCAGGTTCTTCGCATTTTGAACAGGGAATTGGACAAAATGCACAAACAAAGCAAAGAAGGAATGAAGCAACAAAAGCAGAGATTTACTGCAAATGAAAACACACTTCATGCGGTGGGGGCAGGTCCAAGCAAGT